CAGACGAACCAAACTCGGACACGAGTGGTTCTGACGATATATATATATATATATATATATATATATAGTTAAATTCCCAGATGAATTCTGTGGACAAGACAGATTGGTATCAAATGACAATTGGAAAAAAAAAATCAAATTCATCTGGGAATTTAACTATATTGTCGACATGGAAAAAAAAAATAATCCCTTACTATAAAGGTAATTTACATTAACCAAAAAAAAGGCTTAGACACAAGCGTCTATCTTTTTAATTTTGAATTTTAATGTAACTAAAACAACAAAAACATTTCGATTTCATTTTTGCCTTGAAAAACTCGGAAGACGAAACGCGTCCGCAAAATGTAAGATTTTCTCCAATTGTCATTTAATATCATATATATATATATATATATATATATATATATATATATATATATAATATTTAATATAATATATAGGCTTTCATAGAATATGCGACCTTGCTTTCGATCTCACGGTCTCATCAGGCTTATTCTCTCTATTGAATTAGCCTGATGTAATCGTCAGATCAAAACCAAGATTGCGTATTTTATCTGCCCCCCCCCCCCGCTAATTTTTGAAGTTTACAGTTCTATATGTTATTTTTATTTTATTTTTTGTATTGAGCAGTGTTTAATACTAGTGTTTCCTGGTCTGATTCGACTCTGACCATTAACCTTATATATATTGATAAGTCCCGGAAAGGGATATATTTGATCGAAGTATCTAAGTGGGTTTGGCCACTGTAACCAAGTAGTACATGGTAGCTGTAATCGACTGGTACTCGTCGTAGTCGCATGTAATAGGTGTAGACCAATTCACTTTCTCAAACACTAATCTGAAAGTTACCACCACCTGAACCATCAGCTATGCTGGCGGATTAAATTAGAGCTGTAAAATTGGTTTAACACTCACTGATGCTGTCCCTCATTTTGTGTAGAATGGAAAGCAATTTGACTCAGATTCACCGCCATTATTGACAATAGAAGGGACCCTAATTCATCAAACCCACACTTCATGTGAACACATTCAGATTAGTCCAGTTAGTCATGATAGTCATTACATCCTCATGTTCACCGATACAGGGGCTTAAACTTGTTCAAGTAAGCCAGAGATATTAAAAGTACTCAGGTGCCCAGAGGAGAACCTAATACCAACTAGTCATCGAATACGTGGCTTAACGGACAACCAACTTCCTATAAAGGGGGTGTTTTTCATGAATATAAGAAATTGCTTGAGGGAGAGATGACAGATGTAGTATGTATCAAGCAACAAATCTTGCTTTTTCTTATCAGAATCTGCTTTGAAAGGACCTATATCTGTTGCCAACTGATTTACCAGCCCAGAAATCACAGCTCAACCCATTGAACGGCACCAAGGAAAATGGCCTTTGCACATGCTCAGTGATGCCCAGTACCATCCCGTTCTTTCCAACGGAAACCAACAGGCATCTACTGGAACAATGGATACAGGAGCATATCAAGTCCAGCGCGTTTAATATATACCCACACCGACCAATGGCGTAGTCCAGTGGGCGTCGTCATAGACTTAAACTCTGTCGTACCTACACGTCCGTCTGTATTTATGACGGACACCAGCCAATCATATTCCAGTGAGGGGGGAACACAGGTGTATGTATATTCTTATATATATATATATATATATATATATATATATATATATATATATATATATATATATATATATATATATATATATAGTTGAAATCGTTTTTATTGTATTCACGAGAACGTCTAAGAATTCTTTTTTTTTTCATTTGATTCAGTTCGTAGGTAAAGTTAAGGACAGATTTTTTCAAATGTTGCTTTGAGATTATCTGTTTCTTGTTTGTTTATCATTAACCTTATCATCAAAGATAACACACTAGCGAAATCAAAACTACAAAGGTCCCACATTATTTACCAATTCAAATGTGTCTTAAGGAACTGTGTTCCTAATCAAACCAAACTCATAAATGATTACATCGCTTACGCTACTGCCTGCCTATCCAGACGACTTACCTCACACCTATCCGACCATAGCTCTATTTGAAATCATTTAAACTCACACAAAACCTACCAGATTCCACCCGAAACATCCTAGTAGAAAATACAAGCATAATAACCTCATACACATGTAAAAAAAAATTAAAATAATATAAGCCCTAATAATAAAAAGAAAACGTCAACACTCAATGACATTAACTACTAACATGGCCACAGTGTGCTGACCGTGTAGGGAAAATTAAACAGCCTTATAACATAGACACAACAGATACATTCAGTTAAAAAGTAAAAATAAAATCATCCTTGATAATGGCTAAAAGTATAGTCGAAATCGCTCGAGAATGCAGAACTCTTGGACAGTTTTTACACACTTTGTGTCTAAAAAAGTAAACACTTGTGCAACTACAAGAAAAATTAAATAGGAAGATTAATCGCAGTACCGTGTCGTTCGTCTTTAACAAAACATGTATAAAAGAAGCATTGCTGTTTAAATATATATATATATATATATATATATAGTCTAGGGTTCTAATACAAGGTCCAATGGCCACTCAAAGTAAGGGGTTATTGTATGAGATTATTGCTATAGAACGGGAAACGGCAGGGTCATTTTCATGGTTAAAATGGTTTTCCTGAGGAAGCTTTATATACAGCTTTTCTGGTAAAAAAATATCTCCTGCTTCTTCTATGTGCCGCTTCTCTTCAGGACATGGGCGATCTTAATTTCCTATACCTTGTGGCCCATAGCAGTTTTTCTCTTCATGCTAAGGTATCATTTCCTTCATCCATTGACACAAGCTCTTCATGTAAATGGCTGGTTGACTTTCCCTATCTCTCTTGGCCTCTCTCTGTCCTGTGAATGTTATGCTTTCCAGGTCCTACGTTCTCATTATGTCCCCCAAAGAATTTCTGCTGTCTCTTCCTGCATGTGTTTCTTTGTTGACAATTTCTTTAAGATTTCCTCGTTGCTTACTCGCTCCGCCCTTGGAATCCTCATTATCCTTCTGTAAAGCCACATTGCTGTTGCTTCCTGTTTTCTTATCATCCATGGGTGATTTTTCAGCATTCACTAAAATAGCAGAGAATGGATATTACATAGTAATCCAGCCCTCTTTTTTCGAATTTACTGTTCCCTCTTTAAATCCAACGAGAAAAAATACCTTCAGCATCCCAAATAACTGTCGCCATAACCTTTCCTACTGACATGATTTATTTTGCTTTGACCAGGCTCTTTTAACCTTTCGGTAATGAATGCTTTGAATGAGCTTTTTATTCAGGTACCAACCGCTAATGTTTTATCTCCAGTTACCATTCGATTTATAAAGCCTTCAATTGATTTGATTTGTCTGATTAACGGCATAAAAAACACATGAGACATTTAATTTCCTTGGTAGCTTTGAACTAATAAAATATGATAAATGTTATTCTGCTTTCACAGTTGAATACATGGTAGAGGATACTCAACTTTTATGCATATACATGTTTGTGTGGACATTATTACTTTTGGCGGTGATGTGTGTTTTGCGTTTTGTTGAAGTTGTATTTTTGGAATACAGTTTGATGTAATAAAGTGTAAGATATATGCATTAATGTTCTTTCATGTTGCTTGTTTGATAATATTTTAAACGAATTTGGGTGAATTTGCTACAATTTGTTAGCATGTACGTATTGTTGATAATTTTTATATATATAAAAATATATTGCTGGTATTTTTACTATAAAAATTTATTTTCATACTTTCATATTGTTTTGTTTTTCTTTGAGGAGTTCACTATTTGCAGATAGCTAGGACCCTTTGGTTTGCAGGTCTGAAAATTTGAAGGCTATTTTTATAGCTTTCATGAAATAAAGATTATTGCCTATGGTATATTAAGTGTTTGATATTCATTAATTTTAATATATATATATATATATATATATATATATATATATATATATATATATATATATGTATACTAGCTGCATGGCCTGGCGTTGCCCGTGCTTGATTCAAAAATCGTATGACTCATACACCAATCGCTATCACTTGACATAAAATATTTTTGCCCTTCCTTGCCTTTTAAAAGAGTGCCCTTTGCCGTGCTGATGTTGCTACATGACTTACTTCTTGCCTATCTCACACTGCGAATTTTTTCTAAGCTCTATACTAAACATTAAATCTGTTACGAAAAAAAGAACTAAACAAAATGAACACAAAACGATCAGCTTTAAAAAAGTACTCGAAAAAGCCAATGAAAAAAGAATGTTAACAACAAATACTTTATCACACTCAACCCAGTTCTGCGGAATTAGAATCAACGTTGAGGTTAAGCAAGCGAATGAGACAATTGGAGTAAAGTGCCATGCAGATTTAAATTTTACCCACTTGTGACGCATACAGCTAAAGATTTTTTGCATGCTAGTTAACATTCGTGTCAGTCAGCTGTTGGCTCTCATGCTGGCCAATAGAATTTTCCTGCCTATTGGTGGCAGCCAGCTATAGGCTCTCACGCTGACCAGTAAAAAAATGGTCGCAAACTACATGAAAACTGCAGTAGAAGCATAAAAAAATCGATTATTTCCACTATCGATGGGAGTTGGGAAATGCAATGTCGGTCTTGGCCTTTCCGCTCACTTGGAGCATGTGCATGTAAATTTTGGTGCAAATCCGTCGAAAATTGCGGCCGTGCATTCGTCACACACACACACACACATTCTGCCTTTTATAGATAGACATATATATCCTCTTGATGGATCCCATCCCATGCCCAATATGTGCAAAACTTTGTTTATCGGAGATTGGACGAAAATGTCATGTGAGGAGTTATAAACAGCAATGAATAGGTGAAACGATTTAATACCAAAATCTATGCCTATGAGGAAGGGACGTAATCACTGATAACAACGGACTCCTCCAAATGGTGGTCGAGTAATGATTAGTCGCTTAACATTTCCAAATATAGCTGCCATTTTGGGTGACACTTGTGACCTTTTATTGAAGGCTAAGAGTCACATCATTTTGAAACACCGTCTCCTCTCCGATCACCGAAATTAAGCAACGCCGAGTCTGGCCAGTACCTAGATGAATGACCGCATGGGAATATCAGGGGCTGTGAGCTTGCATGTGCAGGTTGTGTAATGGCTCGGAATTTTTATTCGGAGAGCTGGGTTCCAATTCCAGTCGCGTTCGTTGTATTCATTTACGCGAAAATACCCTTGAAAAAGACAGGAATCCACCTCTTCTCCCCCCAGATATAGGTTAATTATTAATTAATATTAATTATTACTATTTTTAATAAATAATATCGTTGTCTTTTGGGCATTAATTCCAAAGGGCGGATTTCTTTCCCAGATTTCAACAGGGATTGAATATAAAGCCTTATATCGCTATTTGCAACCGAAGCCAGCATTAAGTTTTCAAGATTAAAATCAAGATTTTACATACTGATTTTCTTGCATGCTGATTTTTTTCACAGTTGAAATAATTTTTTCGTAATATCATTACATATGATTTGATTTTATATGGAAATTTTATTCTTGATGCAGTACAAAGAAGAATCTGCAGAACTATGGGTCCTGACCTGGCACCTCAGTCACTTTCCCACTGTTGTAACATAACTTCCGTGTGTCTTTTCTATAAATATTTTCATGGTAATTGTTCAAATGAACTCTACTTTATTATCCTATTGAATTGGCTAGATGTAACCGTAGGTTCTATGCTAACAGTGTCTTCTGTCCCTTGTGCAATTCACTTCCAGATTCTTGCTTTCAACTCAAGTTTGATCTTCAAAAATTTAAATACAGTGTCAATCGTTATCTTCTGTCTTCTTAATTCCGGTTCTTTTATTGTACTCTCTCATTAATATTTTTTTCTTTTTCTAATATTGTCTCAAACTCAGTAACTAGTTGCAGCTTAGTGGCTTTATTGCCTTACTTGGGGTGAAATGACTAGAAAACAAATACTTTTTCGGAATATGTTTTGTCTTTTAAATGGTTTTGTGTGACTGAATGGAGTTAAGAACGATGTATCTTCCCGCTACTTATTTATTTCTGCAGAGGCGTTGACTCAATCCTCGATCCTCTCTACGTTAGTGCAATGGGGAGGTGCTGTCTTGGAGTTAGAAGCACCAGAGAACAGTCATATCTGCGTTAGTGTCCTGTACCGCACTAGATTTTATCTCTCTTATTAATACCCGTAGCAATATCTATCTTGCGGCCAAATCTAAAATAAAAATAAATTCAAGTGTAACTATTTAAACTCGACTATCAGAACCTGCGAGACGAATGCAAGCGGTGTGTCTAGACATGCACCTTTTTATCTAACAGTCCAAGTACTTGAGAATGGCGAGGGGTGAAAAGTGAGATTGACGCAAACGAGAGAAAGACAACCAGGGAAGTAACACCGAAAAAGAAGGGAAAAAGAGCGACTATTGACACACTGCCTCTTATGACTCACTTCGAAAGTAAAAAAAAAAACAAAAAAGCCGTAGCATTTCCTTAACGTTAAAGGACATTAAATATTTTGTATATTTTGTTATCTTAATTAGTTTCTGCGTTTGGCAGTAAACATTTAAGAACTTATCAAAGTACAACGGTTCGCAAGCAGATTTTGCAAAGTAATTTGTTGATTTCAATCTGGCTGGGAATGATTATATATTTTTGTGAATTACTAAAAAATATGTGGCACAAGGCCGAAGAGGAAGTGCGTAGAGTCTAGTCTTCCCTGACTATCACAATCACGACCTATTCATTCATTATAATATACCCAATCACCACAAGAACCTAAACATCATCTCTCAATCTTACATATATCACCAGTTCCCTAATCGATATCTATGCAGACGACAGTACTATTTACTCCTGTCTCAATAGCAAATCCGGTATCGATGACAAAACTAACCTGTTCGTTGGTCTCAAAAATGACATCTAATATGTGGTTGACTGGGGCAAGAAATGGCTGGTAAAGTTTCATACCTCAAAAACAAAACTGCTCTCTTTTATTCACCACAGAAATCCTTCCTGCCTTCCATTACAATGCCTGATGCTCAACTCCATGAGAGCAGCTCTCTGCGACTGCTTGCTTTCACATTGTCTGCTGACCTGAGATGGATTAAATACATTTAATCAATAGCTTCATCTACCGCAAGGAAAGTTGGTTCTATGTGTCGCCCTTGCATGGAACACTGCTGCCATATATGGTCTGGAGCCCCCACTGTTCATCTCAATGTCCTCGACAAAATCCAGAGACGGATATGCAATGTGATTGGCTCTGATCTGGCATCTCGTTTACAGTCGCTCTCTCACAGACGTGCCGTCGCTTCCCTCTGTCTTTTGTACAAATACTTTCATGGTAACTGTTCCGACGAGCTACTTTCGCTAATTCCCAGACTGCATGAATTTAAACGTGCAACTAGGCCGGCATCTCGATCCCACCCTTTCACTGTCGAAACAGTTAAATGTAGCCGTCTCTTCTACTCCAATAGCTTCATGCCTTGCACTTCCCGTCTGTGGAACTCCCTTCCTCTTACTTGCTTCCCTGATAGCTATATTTTTCAATTACTTAAATGCAATGTCAATCGACATCTATAGATGCCTTCATCTGATTCCCCGTTCTTCTCTTCATCCTTTCCTCTATCACGCCTCTTTACTTTTGCTCCCACTCTCTGTAATCCCTTGCGTTCTAGTGACAATCTCGCCTTGCTTGGGGTAAAATTCTTTAAAAAAAATACCTATTCACAGGGGGGCCTACAAAACATCCCATGAATCTGAGTGGGAATGACTGCAGAACATATGCTCCTAATCTTTTTTTACCCAGAAGCACACAAATGCATGCAGGGATTGTTTTCTAGCTAACAAAATAGGCTAGCTTGCAGTTTCATCTGACTCAGTCCTCGATATGACTTCTTGTCTTGAAGACAGCACACTATATTCCCTAATCCGAACTTGCTTTTCGTTTCAACGACAATTCTTAGTTTGTGCACTTTTTGCCACAATAATGTCGATTTGTCCTGCATGCATTGTTTTCTTGCTTTATATTTTTTGTCCTGTTGTTTTCTTTCTCTTGTTATAATTTATTACAAACTTTGTTAATTCTGTTTGTTGGACTGTTCTGTTATTTATTTTTTTGCATTTGACCATGGCTACACACTCCGCACAGTTTGTAAGTGTAAGGAGTTTTCTCATCTTTAGTGTCGTCCCACTGCTGTGGCTTTGTGCTAAACTTAGATAAGTTGAAAAATTAGCGAAGTGGTACCGACAATGGATGCGAGAGGGTTAACAAATTCAACCTGTTGAAAAAATTTAGGGGAAAAAAATCAATCTATTCCAAACTAATCTCGACTCCGAACATGGCACACGCGAATCGTTTCTTCTCCAAAGGCTTAACTGTTAAACGCCATTAAAAGAGGAAAACATGGCGGATAACGTACGTGGTGTGCACACCTTGCGTCGAAAAAGTCAGAAACATCCAAGAAGACAAAGGGGACAAGTTTTAACATCTTTGGAACAGATAAAATTTGCCCATTTCTTTGCTTGTTCGAGGAGAAAAAAGAAACTTTTTTTTTTTATTTACACTATTTATATTCGGACTATCGTCCTCATCTTTCTTCTTGTTATCACATCGTTTTGGCCATTGGGCTCTCCGAACTTTTCTAAGTGTATATCGTCCTTGATAACCTAAGGGTAATTCTGAATTGGACCCTTTATTTAATCTTCCGGGGTAGACTGTTGTGATCACAACAACAATGATAAGGACAAAAGTCCGAATATAAAACGTGTAAATAATGATAATTCCTTATCCCCGAAATTCATACAAATTTTGTTTTCTTTTATCTCCGATATAAATATTCCAAATAAGGTTAATGAATATGCATTCTGATAAAAAAAAAACGATCTGAGATATTTTGATCGAGTTTATTTGACACAGGAGCTTCAATTATAGTCGTAATTAATTTTTTTTTGAAAACGAAAAGAAGCTGACAATCTTTTCAAGCATAATTGATCGTTGAATTCTAAAGGGTCATGGTAGAAGTCAAGCGAATCTATATCGAAATACTCACTTTCAATATTTAATAACGACATTACATATCGCACAAAAAAGCCATAGGAGGAAATGAGTCATGAGTCATTATCAACAGTCTGTCTGACAAGCACAAACCTTCCAATGCCAAAAATCAGGCTAGCGATGAAGAAATGCAGATGCTATCGTTGATAACCGACGGACTACGTGCGATTGTCGCGTAATTATTATATTGTCACTTTTCAGTGGATTCGATTCATGCTGTTTTACCTGTCCTAAGTGTGACGATAAACTACATCCGGCAGCAAGGCCGCTGATCGAGAGATTTAAGGAGCATGGAAACATCTTTTAATCGCTGTTGTACGAAGGTTCACCTTGATCGTGGGTAGTAACACCTGTTAGACTCCTAGAAATGGGCAAATAGTGAAAACCTAAACAAAAGTTAACAATACATATTTGTAATAAAATTACCAACAATACATTTTATAGTATAGTTGCCAAAAAGGATATTTTATAATAAAATTAGCAACAATAGATTATAATAAAATTGCCAAAAATACATTTTTATAATAACATTACTAACAATACATTTTATAGCAATATGGCCAGCAATAGATTTTAAGGCAAATTACCAAAAAAAAAAAAACATTTGTATTATATTTACTAACAATATATTTTTTTAGTAAAATTTCCAAAAAAAAAAAACGAAAAAAAAAATGATTTATTATTAAATTACCTTTCATTTTTATAGTGAATTTGCCAACAATACATTTTATAGTAAACTTATGTACAATACTGTCGATATGTTCTGCATGCTTCATTTTCTTGCTTTATATTTTTTTTCCTGTTCCATTCTTTTCTTTCTCTTTTCTTTAGCTCATTACAAACTTTCTCAATTCTGTTTGTTGGACTGTTCTGTTATTTATTTTTTTGCATTTGACCATGGCTACACACTCCGCACAGTTTGTAAGTGTAAGGAGTTTTCTCATTTTTAGTGTCGTCCCACTGCTGTGGCTTTGTGCTAGACTTAGATAAGTTGAAAAATTAGCGAAGTGATACCGACAATGGAGCACGAGGGTTAACAAATTCAACCTGTTGAAAAAATTTAGGGGAAAAAAATCTCAAAATGACCAACAATACATTTAAATCAAAATGTGTCCCTTCAGAACGTTGGCGATCATGGCTCTCCCGTTCTCCCTATCCCTTGTAACTCTCAACATGTTTTGTCCTTTTGCTATTTCTCCCAAACCTTGTTCCATCATCCACTTGCTAGCTATATCAAGCGTTGCTTTCCCTTGTCTCTCTTTCTCTCTATCCGCCCTGTGAATATCAGATTCTCCAAGCACTTCTTTCTCATTAAGTGTCCCAGAAATTTCAACTGCTTCTTCCTGATGGTAAGTATAAACTTTCTCCTTGTTTTCATCCTCTCCAAAACCTCATCATTGCTCACATGTTCGGTCCATGGTATCTTTAGCATTCGTCTGCAGAACTATACCTTTGTTGCCTCGTCCCTTCTTCATCTTTGAAGAGACTGTTCCAATATTCGCTGCCGTAAAGGAGGACAGATATCGCGTAGTAGTTCGGTACTATTTTCTTTGTTACCAACGAAATCCTCCTGTCTCGTAATACTCTGTCTAAATTTTGGAATATGTCTTTGGGCATTCCAATATGTCTTCGGCTCTCAGCGTCGCACTTACCGTCTACTGTCAGAACACTTCCCAGATATTTAAATTTCTGCTTGATTTTCCAGCCCCCGACCTGTAAATCGCATTTCGGATTCTTTTTTTTTCTTTTTTTCTTTACTAATGACCATGCATTGTGTCTTTTTGCAGTTTATTTTTAATCCCTTCTTTTCGCTCTCCTTCGCTACTTTCTGTGTAAGGTTTTATAATTTCCTTTTCGTGTCCGCTATCAGCCCTGCCTATCCTATGTTGTTAAGATTGTGGCCGCCAATGATGAATCCTAGTAGAATTTTCCGTTCTTTCAGAATTGCCTCGCTGTATAGTTTGAATGTCCGGTGAGAAAACACATCCTTGCCTTTTGCTACTTTTTATTTTTGTATCTCTGCTAAACTCATTCTCTATTCACATTCTGGCCGTTTGCTGCCAGTATATGTTCTTGATTATTGTAATATCTTTCCAAAATATATCAAGATTGCCAAGCATTTTCAACATATCTTTGTGGCGTACATTGTCAAACGCCTTTGCGTAGTCTATAAAACATAGGTGCACGTCTTTCTGCATTTGTATTGCTCTTTCTGATAATATTCTGAGGATGAATATCACGTTTCTTGTTCCGGTGTCTTTGGTGAACAAGCACTGTTCTCATCCTATCTTTGGCCTGATTCTGCTGCGCGCTCTATTCATCAGAATACGGATGATGAGTTTTTTTTTTTATGTGGCTCATTAGACTAATTGTTCGATGGAGTTCACGTTCGTTTGCGCCTGGCTACTTGGACAGTGCTATGAAAATAAATCTGATGAGATCTTCCGGTATATCACCACTGTTGTAGATTTCATTTATTATTTCTGTAATCTTGTCTATGCCAAAATAATCTAAGGCCGTACGCATTTCTGTTACAATTCCGTCTGACCCTACCACCTTGTTTCTTTTCAATTTGACCAGCGCAGCTTCTACTTTGGTTTTTAGAATTTCAGGCCTGTCGGCATTTCTGTGTATTGCCGGTTGTTCTCTTTCATCGTGAAAGAGTTCTCCAAAATATTCGTTCCAGCGCTAAAGTTTTTTTTTTCCTTTTCTCATATGAGCATTTCGTCCTTTGATTTTAAGCAGCCTGTTGAGTATGTCTTCTGTCCTGTTAGTTGCCTTATTTGTTTATGCATATCTCCTTTGTCTGTGGTGCTCAAACTCTCTATTTCTGCACATTTTTTTTTGTTTAGCCACTCTTCTTTAGCTTGCCTGAATTTGGTCCTTATTTCGTTGTGTAGTTTTCTGTATTCCGTTTCGTATCTTCTTTGCATCATGTCGAGAATCTCATCAGTCATTCATTCATTTTTTTCTTCTTCGTCCATTCTCCTTTGGGATGATATCGTTTTCTGATGTTACTAAAGCTTCTCTTAGTACATCCCATTTAAACTTTCCATTTCCATTTTCTCCCTCATATCTTCTTTTCACACTGTCCATATATTTTTCTTTCAGGTAAGGGTCGCTCATGGGTTTGTTGTATTGCAATTAGGGTGCTGCGTTAGGCTTCCTCAGTTTCCGTAGTTTCAATCTTAATTAACATATAACAGGGCGGTACTTCGGTAGGTTTTGCAGTGAACCTTTGCATTCCTGAAAATTTTGTTGATAGTTATGTAGTCAATTTGTTTTTTAGTTTCTCCTGCTGGGCTCCTTCATGTCCATAACTGTCTCGGATGTTCTTGAAACCTGATCATTGGCCGTGCACCACTGGATCCATTTTTCTCTACGTTCGTTGCGGGTTCCGAGTCCGAATTTTCCGGCTATATCCCCTGCCTTGTCCCCGCCTATTTTCTCCCATGATAATTATGACTTCTTGCGATTTGCAGTGAGCCTTGACATTGTCTAGCACGGATTAGAAAGATTCGATCGCAAGATGCTACTAAACCAATATATTAACCAAAGAACTTAGGTCGTCTTAAATAATTTCGTTGGATATTGACTCTAATCAGGATGCCATGTACGCAGGACTGGATTTTAGACCTCAAGAGGACTCTGGGCTAATAGAATTTTGAGGCGCATTAATTACATTTTTTTCACATCCATGTCTATAAAAATAAATATTTTTGAATAATACTTTCTTAGTGTAAAGCATGAAATACTTCAATATCTGTCTATATTTCTGAGAGGAGGTGTCGTAACTATTTACATTATTCGGATTGTTGTCCTCATCTTTATTGTCATATTTGCGAGGTTTCGTCCGTTGTACGCTTCAGCCTTCTTCAGGTAATATACGTAGGAATTTCAAACCATTATTTTACACATGTCCCAGTGGATAAAAGTGTTGATTGAAGTAATCCAGTGACTTGACCTAAAGAGTTGTTGAGTTCAATACCTGGCCACAGCAGAGGTGAACAAAAATTTGGGGACTTGAGTTACTAAAGGGAATTAACTGAAACTGGAATACCCAGAAAAGGCATGGCATGCAGAATTAGAACAATCTAACCCTGTGGACTAAATAATAGGTTCGGTTCGAAATTCCAACGTATATCACCTGAAGAAGGCCGGAACGTAAACGGCCGAAACGGTATGAATATGACAACAGAGTTGAGGAAAACAGTCCGAATAATGTAAATAAGGAAACACGTCGAATAAAATTAAATAAAAATAAACAAATCTCTTATCTTATCTTATCTTGGAGCTTCTCTAGTCTTGAAGCCCATCGGCTGAAGCCCGTACTAGTCCACGTATAAGTCTGGCTCTACATATATGGCATCCAACTGCTTCGGAAATATCTATACATAACCGTTTTCGCAGATCAATAATTAAAAAAGATCCTAAAGCAAATGAGCCCTATGGGTCTTCGAATTTCCTCGGATCTCGCAGATAGATAGAGAATTGAAAACAAAGAACTTTATCAAATAACGGATACCACATCACTTGAGGACCTCCTAATTGTTGTAGAGTGGAAGCTTGTATTTCACTAAGTCGGTCCTAAATTAGGTTCGACGTACAAAACGTTAGGAACTTGAAATGATAGTTAATGACGCAGCAATCTAGTTGTGGGGCTCACTTTAATGTCCGACATCGATTAGCTCAAACAACTCACTGAGTTTTTTCTGGCGACTGCTACTACTACTACTACTACTTATCTGTGGGAGAGTCTATTTACAATAGAAATAGGTACGTTCCGGTATAACACTAATGCAGTGACAGCTAAAACGGCTAGCACGTGTTATTCTAAAGGAAAATCATAACATTATCAAAATGTTGACATTTCACAGTACCTCAAAGAAAAGAACAGGATGGTAACCAACAGCAGTACTAGAAAGAGCTATAACATCTACTGGATTCGAGAAACCTATTTTCCTAAAAAGCTGTTTCTCGAGAAAGATTTCATGAATTTCAACCGATGTTAACTGTTCAGTCAATAAATGCCGAATGTTTTCTGTACAGAATCGGCCATTAACCTTTGTATTTTCCCCGTGGAAGATTTAGACAAGACAGATGCAAATACATTTTTGTATTAAGACATAAATCAACCAACATCTAATACACATGTCGCATATTCTACGTACTCACGCAAATTTTATAGACCAACTTCATCACTCAAACAAAGCGTCTCAATCATTAAGTTCTCCATATAATAAGATAGATTTGTCGCTATGTAGGATACAGGGCTACAAGCAGAACCAAAATCATACAAATACGACAATGAACACACATGGCGGACTCAGTTAATTGAAATCTTACGCTTAATATTATACGCCAATGTCCGGTCATGAACTTTCCTATTTTCAGTTACACCCAAATTTTTATTTATTCATATACATTAAGAGGTAGACCTCATTATTGTTTAATCTAGATATGACAGAAGACAATTCCATTAGAAATAATTGAAGTATAGAAACTCCAATAATGTCTTCTAGTTTCAACGGATAATACGAGCTCATTTTCATTATATAATGTCAAACGCTTTTATTTTATAATATGAAATTCCTCTCTACCGCTTACCCCACTCCAAGTATGCTTTCCAACCTGCCAGTCCACAAGCACTAACACATATCGAGGGCATATCTGAGTATAAGTAGCGAGATTGTATCCATCGGTGGCTTGATAGGCTAGTCGTTCAGCTTACAGCACCTGGTATTCCTTAGCGGTTACCAATCAGAGTACAGACCAGCGTCAAGATTGCTTAACTTCGGTGATCGGATGAGAACCGGTGTTTCAACGTGATATGGCCGCAAGAAAAAAAAGCGTTGAATTTTTGTCTTAATTAGATACTTTAGAGGTACGTTGGGCTAATAGATAGCGGCTCGGTCTGAGGAATCGGAGAGTCGATTTCGAATCCCAGTGGAGTTCATTATATTCGCCTACTTGCAAATCCCTTCTCTTATCCCCTGACCCCGGTTACAGATAAATAGCAGGACGGACAGGTTCATATTAGCCTTGGTAGGCGAAGGTAAACTCTGATTTCAAAACAGCCGAGAAAAGGCTAAGCTAAGTCACACTATCTTGCCCGAAGAAACGCCACTTCTACTGAAGTACGTGTTGTGCTTCTATGACCCTAATGGTTTACGGGTCTCGTGACGGTGTGAAGCTAATTTCGCAACGCAGATTAAGTCAGAGAATGTACCTCTCTGTCGGAGAGCGCATAGTTTTTCTTTTTTCCAATAAGATTTCTCGGATATTCAGGTTGGTAGACGAAAATAAATAAATATACTATTTAATAAATAAACGGAGCGTTTACTCAAATATGAGTATCCCACTAAAAGCAATAACGTTTAACGGATAAAATCTGTCGGATTAAAAAAAAAAATTAAAAGGAGAAACAGACTGCCCCATTAAAGTAAGACTGAGAGAACATCGAAAAGCCGTAACACGAGGGGAAATAGAAAAATCAGGCGTAGTTTACCACATATGGAGGGAAAAGGGAGATCATCGCCCTCGGTGGAATGATGTTGAAACAGAGAACATCATTGGAAAATAAGGAAACTAATGAAGCAGCAAATATGCTAAGCTACAAAAATCACCTAAGCCGACCAAGCATAGAAATGAGTACCATATAGGAACCAGTAACACGAAGCGCTGGAGAAAAGGAATAACAACAAAACTGCAATATGAGCCCTAGTAAAAACTGATTTCTGAGAGATTAAGTTTATTAGCCCCAAAAATGAGCCTACTAATGTTTTCGAGGACACATTAGCTCAGTGGATAAAACTGTTGGTTAGAGCCTGTGACTTTAGAGTTCAATACCTGGCTGCAGTAGTAGTGCATAAGAACTTGATGACAAAAGGAAAGCTTTCTTCGCCAACGCGTTTCGTCCTCTGAGAATTTTTTTCCTTTTATTTGTATTATATAATTACTCGTTTACGAGCAAACCGTCATCTAGGGCGGCTATCCAATCTAGTGTTGCAGATACCGGCTCAGTCCTATATATTCCTGTTCAACACAAACCAACTGTGTTTTATACTCCAACTATGCTGCTCGGAACTTAATTACAGTTTGTGGGAGAGTGATCAAAAGTGTTATTTTAAAAAAACAAAAACAAAAACAAAAAAAAACAAAAACAAATATATAATATATAATATATAATGATATATTTATTATGGTAATATTTTTATAATTACAATCTGTTGTTAACTCGAGGAAGGACGGACGTGTTAATTTTAACGCCTTCAAAACAAAACTTCTCTCTATTATTCATTGGACAGATCCCATTATTCTTTCCAACAGAATGGCTGATGCTAACCTCCAGGACAGTGACTCATTTCGCCTTCTCGGGTTAAAGTTCTCTGTTGGCAAGAAGTGAATAGGGATACTGAATCCATTACTAGGTCTTCTGCTAAGAAAGTTGGATCACTGACTCATGCTAGACATTTTTCTCTCAATAATCTTGCATGGTTATAAGTCTATCATTTATTAATACTATGAATATTGCTGCCACGTATTGTCCAGTGTTCCTGCTATAGACTTAAAAATTCTTGATAAAATCAAAAGATGAATATGCAATGTTAATGGTCCTAACCTGGCATCTCGGTTTCTATCTCTTTCAGACCGCCATAATGCAGCTTCCCTAAGTCCTTTCTATAAATACTTTCATGGTAATTGTTCTGATGAACTTTCCGCTATTTGTTATTTTATTCCCCTCCCCCTACAGACAATGAATTGTACATATGGGGACTAGTTAGGACTTTCATAGAGACAATGTGGTATTATGGTGAATGTAGTAAGAAAGGTAAGTAAGAATGCGTTGTTTTGGTGTTTGGAATATTGTGGTATATCTGGAGTAGTGTGTGTGGTTAGCTAAGACAGATGAAGACTGTCCTTCTACCTATTCCCTCTGTTGGCCTATTGTACCACATTTTGCATAATCATGCAAATAAATATCACTTTCCGCTATGGTATCTAGACTTTACGAATGTGAACACAGTACTAGATTAGGAACAATCACATACTAGACTACCCGTGACCCGCTAGCTCACTGACGGTTCAGGGTAGAAAACATTGAAATTGATTTCAACATTCCATTGAAAGTTAATTTTATTATGTTTCAGTTAAATATTTCAATTCGTTCGTGTCATCAGTGGTCTGGTTTACAAGTTCATGTTTAAAATTTTACTGATTATTTAGAGCATTAATTTCCGGCCTAAATTTAAACTTTTAATTAAATTACGTTAAAAATATTCTTTTAATGTGCCAACAAATATTTCTAAAATATTGAAAATATTGTTTGTTTAAAGAAAGCTGAAATAAAAGAAACAATTATTCTACAAACTGGAAGAAAATGCAAAGCGGCCTCTCTTTGTATCTGTATTTAAGTAAAACTATTTTAATTAAATCAATTGACTGAAGATAGTTGAAATAAAAAATACTTACTGTATAAAAAAAACTCATATTTTTAGATCGTATTCACTTAAATCATTATACGCCGGACGGACGCATCAAACAAACATAAACATGACTTATATGGCTTTTATATAAAGGGTGCAATAGAAATACTTTTACAAATCTTGTGGGTAAGATCCTTATACCAAGACAAGGACAAAAGTTCGCATAAAGGTTTCTGAGTTACTAAGCTTAAACTTTACTGTTAACGCTGTTAATGAAGAACCCAAGCTATAACTGAAAACGCCATCATTGTACCTCAAAACAGCAACACATAACAAATGTTCAAAATGCCTTCCGTTTGCATCCGTCGCATTATTGACAGGTGGATCTTTTCAAATAATCCCACACGGCGTCGAATGGTTTCGCAGGCCCCCATGACACGTTGATGAAGCGTATCTGCATTATTAATGTCTGCTGCATAAACCAAATGTTTTAGATGGTCTGACAGATACAAATACAAATGAATGAGGACAGAGGAAATTGCAGGCCATGTCATCGGTCATCTCCTAACTATCCATCTTTCATGGTAGATGTCAGCCAGTGCATCGCGAACAATGTGACTAAAATGTTCTCTAGGCCCGTCTACGTTAACTCACTACTACACACGTTAAACGTCGAAAACAGACTAGCTACAAATATGCACGAATGACAAATGTAACCTAGCCTACATTGCAACAGAAGGCCATCTACTGTTAAATTTCTTTAAACTTAATCACTCAGAAACGAAAGATTTGCGGACATGTGTTTATATGGAATTTTGGCCTTGTTAGTAAAAAGTAATATTTTTGATATACCCTATATATATATATATATATATATATATATATATATATATATATATATATATATATATATATAGATGTGAGTTTGTGACCCTGGGTTTCACGCTTTAGCGATCGTCAGACAAACTGATTCTATATATATAATAAGTAATAATAAGGCAAAAAGTGGTACAATTTGATAACGAACTGTTCACTCCGGCATCCAGTGTAAAATATATATGTAGTTACTTTTCATGGTAGTGGGCTTGCTTATCCCAGTGACCAAAGAGCAAAGACGTTTGGAGTTCCAGCACCTATAGGGCCACTCGTGGAGGTAAGGACGAGGAGAAGGAACCAGACTGAACGTTACCAACCCCGACGACCCCAACGGGAGAATAGCGAAAGATCTAAATGATCCCAACCGCCAAACCGATGGAAGAGGGCAGCACCATTCGTGCTGGCATAACCGAAGCGGACCTTTACAGACCAAACACCTGACAGCCTGATGCAACCAGGTTTGCCAGATATCGCCTGTTTCACACCCCTTTGAGCCACGATGGAGGCTTCACCGTCGCGCAGAGTATTCCACCAAAAGAGAAAAAAGGAACAGGGATATATATATATAACCTAAAAAATGAAAAACGGAAAAAATATATATATATAACCTAAAAAATAAAAACGGAAAAAATAAATAAAAACAAATACAATAATAATTAAAAAAAAAAAAAAAAAAATAAAAAAAAAAAATAAATAAATAAATAAAATAAATAAATAAGTACTATGTTGCTTAAAAAACCGAAAACCAAAAAGAGAAAATATAAAAATAAATTGACCTAAATTCATCCAAGTAAATAAATAGGCAAACCAATCCCAAATTAAAAAACTGTTCCCAAAAAAAAAATAATAGTTAGAATGAACTACAACAACCAACCCCAAAATTGTACAAATAGCTTTAATTAAATTCTCAAACCAAAACAAAACTGTTAAATACGTGATATAAACAAATTTTACTACGTTAATAAATAAATAAATAAAATAAAAAAAAAAAATAAATAAATAAATAAATAAATAAAATAAAATAAAAAAATAAATAAAAACGAGCAATATAACTTGACCCAAATAAATGAACAAAGCGACTTCCGGTAAAAATAACCGCCATAATAGAATACCCACAATGCACCACTAACCCGTATATATATAAATAGCCGAGAAAAATAACAGCACACGTGGCCTGACGATTGCATATAGCATAAAACAGACTGTCGCCTCTAAGTGTTGACTTCTATGTTCACTTTTATATTTATATATATATATATATATAGTTTATGCAAACTTAGGTAATCCGTATGGGTAGATCTGAGGAGGATAATATCCAGAGAGCGAATTTCAAATTAATTTCTTCGTAGATTGTTTTAACATTTAGATATTTATCAAACCTTAACCTCCCAAATATGCACGTTAAAGTAACGCGAACTGACAGCGTCTAAGAATTTGACTGAAACCTGTCGTGTAATTGATTGGGGTTGTTGTAACTTCTTCCTTTAATGTCGTTCTTATCATTCACCCCTTAGCCATCTATATCTAGAGACGAGACG